AAAACAAAGATATAACAAAAATAGTTGTCTAACTCTTTTTTAAAAAAAATTTAATGTTTATTTATCTATCTTGAGAGAGAGAGAGAGAGAGAGAGAGAGTGAGAGAGAGCATGTGCGAGCAGGGGAGGGGCAAAGAGAGAGGGAGGGAGAGAAAGAATCCCAAACAAGCTCTGGGCTGCCCGTGCAGAGCCCGACTGGGGACTCGAACTCACAAACGGTGAGATTATGACCTGAGCCGAAATCAAGAGTCAACACTTAGCCGACTGAGCCACCCAGGTGCCCCATGTCAAACTCTTCTTCTGAGTCTGAAAGTGATACAGCCAATTTGTGGGATGTGTACAAAAACATAAAGAAGAAAATAACTCTCATCAATAATTATAAAATGCAAAGAAGTCCACTCTTAACATTTAGATATCTTTCCTTCCAGTCCTTTTTACACGTTTTTAAAATTATTACTATTTCAAATGCTGTTATTTTGTGAAGGAAAATTTGTCCATTTTTTTGTGGTTTCTTGATTTTGGGTCACTGTTATAAAGGCCTTCCTCCACTCTTCATTTGTAAAAGAATTCTCTTATGCTTTCTCTTAGCACATTTATGACTTCCATTTTTCACAAGTGAAATTACAAATGACCCATTTGTAATTCAAGTACATGAATAAAGTAGTAAGCATTCATAGAGCTACACAGCTCTATCAAATCTTAACTTTCTATGTTAACCATACTTCACTGGGATTTCATTTTCATACAAGAAAACGTATCAATGGTGGAAAGCATGTAGTTCCATGAAACTTGAAAACCATACACAGTCATGTAATCACATCCAGATCGAGACATAGACTAGAACATCAAGATGTGAAATATCGACCTTGAGAGTTCCTTCATGCTCCTTCCCAGTCAGCTCACCTCCCTCATGAGGAGACAACCACTATTCTGATACCTGACACCGTAGAAGAGTTTGGCCTGTTCTTAAAGTTAATATAAATGTAATCATACTGTTTGTACCCTTTTGTGCCTAAATTCTTCAGGTTGATATATATTTTTTTAATGTTTATTATTTTTGAGAGAGAGAGAGAGCGTGCGGAAGAGAGAGAGAGAGAGAGAGAGAGAGGGAGACACAGAATCCGAAGCACGCTCCGTGCTGACAGCTCAGAGCCTGACACGGGGCTCAAACCCATGAACCATGAGATCATGACCTGAGCTGAAGTCAGACACTTAACCAACTGAGCCACCCAGACGACCCAGGTTGACATGTTTTTGAAGCTCATCCATGTCATTGTGAATACCAATAGTTCATTCTTTTTGTTGTCAAGTTACTAACCTATTCTATGAATATACCACAGTCTGTTGATCCATTGTGTTGTTTGTGAGCATTTGGCTTGTTTCCATTTGGGTGCCATTAAGAATAAAACTGCTAGAAGCATTTTTATGCAAGTCTTTTTGTGTACATATGCACTCATTTCTCTCGGGCATAGAACTAGTCATGATACTGCTGTGTCAAAGGGAAGGTCCTTTATATCTCAAGTGCATGTTTTCACCCAGCCAGTGGCTTGTCCTTTCTCTTTCTTAGTGGTATATTTTGATCAGTAAGAGACTTTAACTATGATGAAGTCAAATTCATTGTTTTAGGTTTAGTGCTCTCCACGTGCTAGTAGTCTTTGTCTGAACAAGGTTATGAAGATCTTCTTCCATGTTGCCTTCTAAAAGTTCCATACCTGTAACCTTCACATTTAAGTATTTAATCCATCTTGAATTAATTTTTATATAGAGTGTGAGGTACAGCTCAAGATGTATCGATCTCTGCTGTACGCAATTGTCTAATTGATCAGCAACATTTATTGAAAAGGCTATCCTTTTCTCATGGACTTACTTCGGAAACGTTGTCAAAAATCAACTGACCATATGTATGTGAGACTATTTCTAGAATCTTTATTCTATTTCACTGATCCACTTGCCAATCCTTATGCCAATATCACACTGTCTGATTATAGTAGCAGTATAGTAACTTGTATGAATTTATACTCCCACCAGCAATAAATGAGAGGCTGTATACAGTACATTTGTTACCAAACTGTGATTTTTTTTTCAGTATGATAGGGAGAAAGATAAAATAAAATCTCAGTGTAGTTTAAATTTACATTTCTTCTTTATGAGTGACATTGAGCATTTTTTCTAAGGTTCTTTGTAAATTAAGTGCCTGTTGTATTTTCTTTCTGGTCACTGTCTATGGAGTTATTGCAAATATACCTTCCCAGTTTGTCATCTGTCTTCCAATTTTATAGGTTGTGTTTTGTACCAATGTAAAAGTTATCTGATGTTGTCAGATTTATAAGTTTTTATGGTTTCTTTATTTTGGTCATTATTAGAAAGGCCTTCTGTCTTCAACTTTATAAAAAGAATTCTCATATTTTTAGCACAATTATGATTTCATTTTTCACATTTGAATCTTTGATCAATTTGCAATATGTCTTACTAGGAAGGATGAGTCATTATCCCAACATTTCCTGCTCTGCCTTCTACCTCAAGTGATACAGAATTGTCCCCAAACTACATATGATAGTCTATCTTTCCCCCACTAGTTTTAAATGTCACATTTATCATACACTAAATTCCAGTCTGTTTGGAAGTCTATTTTAGACCTCTTATTCTATTCTATTGATCTGTCTGACTACTCATGCATCAATACTATAGTATTTTGATTAGTGAGTCTTTAAAATAGGAAGAACTAGTCTCTCTGGGGCTTCCTCTTATAGAAGTTTCCTGGCTATTCAAATTTGATTAACTTTTCTCATAAAACTTCAGAATTATCTTGCCTGGTTAAAAAAAATCACATTTTTGAGATTGGGAAGATCTCAATAAGTTTAGTGGGATCTAACTTAAATTAATGTGGAGATAATTGACATTTTTATAGTGATGGATATAGTATTTCAGTCCAAGAACATGATATATCTTTCCATTTATTCTAGTTTTCTGTCCTTCAATGTATTTTAATATTTTATTCATGTAGTCTACCTTTCTAACTAAATTTATTCCTGTGCATTTTATATTTGGTGGCACTATTGTAAATTAATGTTTTTTCCTTACCTTATGTGATATGCAGAATAATGCGCCCCCAAAGATGTTCATATCCTAATCCTACAACTTTTGAATATGTTAGGCTACATGACAAAGGGGAAGTAAGGCCACTAATCAGCTGACCTTAAAATAGGAAGATTATCCTAGATGATATGAGTGGGCCCAATATAATCACAAGGGCCTTAAGGGTGGAAGAGGGAAGCAGAAGAGTCAGTGTCAGAGTGATGCCACATGAGAAAGACTCCCCACTGCTGGCTTTGAAGACAGAAAGAGGCCAGGAGCTAAGGAGCCTGTGCCGCCTATAGAAGCTAGAAAAGGCAAGATAATTGTTCTCTCCTAGAGCCTCCATAAAGGAACAGGAACAAATAAGTTTCTTTCTTTTTTTAAATTTTTATTTGAGACAGAGAGAGCACGAGCAGGAGAGAGGGGGAAGAGGGGGACAGAGAGAGAGAGAGAGAGAGAGGGAGAGAGAAAGAAAATCCTAACCCTGATGCAGGGCTCAATCCCACGACTCTGGGATCATCACCCGAGCCTAAATCAAGAGAGTCCGACGCTCAACCAAATGAGCCACGTAGGCACCCCAAAAATAACTTTCTTTTTTTTTTCCAACGTTTATTTATTTTGGGGACAGAGAGAGACAGAGCATGAACGGGGGAGGGGCAGAGAGAGAGGGAGACACAGAATCGGAAATAGGCTCCAGGCTCCGAGCCATCAGCCCAGAGCCTGACGCGGCGCTCGAACTCCCGGACCACGAGATCGTGACCTGGCTGAAGTCGGACGCTTAACCGACTGCGCCACCCAGGCGCCCCCCAAAAATAACTTTCTTAAGAAAACACTGAGAAAGTATTCCTGAGAATGAAAACCACACACCTTTCAACACATCATGTTTAAACAGCAAATAGAAACCAACCCCAAGACAAATTGTTAGCTAATGTAATTCCACAAGCAAACACTGAGCACAAAAAATGTCATAAAATGTGGGTTTTGGAAAACCAACAGGTAACCAGCTTCTTTTTCAGGAAATTTACTGTTAGCAATCAAACCCTACCTGGCAAGCTGAAACAGGAATCTAGCAATCATCTTTAAAAAAAGGGGTCTTGGGGCGCCTGGGTGGCGCAGTCGGTTAAGGGTCCGACTTCAGCCAGGTCACGATCTCACGGTCCGGGAGTTCGAGCGCCGCGTCAGGCTCTGGGCTGATGGCTCAGAGCCTGGAGCCTGTTTCCGATTCTGTGGCTCCCTCTCTCTCTGCCCCTCCCCCGTTCATGCTCTGTCTTTCTCTGTCCCAAAAAAATAAATAAATAAACGTTAAAAAAAGGGGTCTTATTTAAAACTCACATTTTAACCCATACTCACAACGTCTGAACAATGAAAATGGAAAATCAGTTGGGCAGAACAAAATAAAATACTGATTTCTGAGTTCACCAATAATTATTAGATATTAATAGTTTCCCTTTTCTAGAGAAGAAAGGAAAAGAAGGATGAACTCATTGCTGATCAAGCTTTAGGCCAGGTGGAGAGGTCAACAAGGATTTAATGAACTTCATATGCTCACACCTGCTTAATAATGGATGCTGGTAGAACTGTGATGGCATTTCCTTTTGAAGATTTCATGTGAAGCTCTGTATCCAATGACAGGTAGTGGTTGTGATGGGTAATAACTTAGTAACAGCCTAAATGCACATTTTTATGAGACAAGTAACTCTTCTCAGGCAAGTAAAAAGCAGACTAATGAGATGTTCCTATGGGATTTGATATAAACAGTAGAAAGGAAAACATCCTTCCAGCCATGACCCCACCTACAGCAAAGGCTATATAAGCACTTCAAAGAGGAAATAGTCAAGGAGCTTGGAATTCAGACTTAGTCGAGGTTGCTTGAGCTTTCGATCTGGACCACAGATTTTTGAAATAAACCAAAACTGGGTACACACCATGGATACCAAAGGCTGTACAACAACTATTTCTTCTTCAACGCCACACCAAAGATGCTCTAGGATTACAAATTTTAGGACCATCTTTCCCAACACCAGCTGCCAATATGGTGGTCTCGAAGCCAACAGCTGCCACCCTACTCCTTGCTTTTATCTCACACCCATCTATTTGATTAACAACTTCGGTGCCTGTCCCCCTCTGGATGACTGCGACTGGTGTGGTGAAGGTATCAACAGTAAAGAGAAAGAGACCATGCAAATTTTGAACGAGCGCCTTGCTAACTACCTGGAGAAGGTGCGGATCTTGGAACAAGAGAACACTGAACTGGAGTGCAAAATCCAGGAGGAGTGTAGCAAAGAGCTTTGTGTCATATGTCCTGACTACAGGTCCTACTACACTACCATCGAGGAGCTCCAGCAGAAGGTAAGATTCTTAGGAATGTGTATAATCAAGTTGTGTAATGACACTCTCCAAGCAATAGCCATGTGCTAAACTTTAATATTTGTAGTTCATTTTATGTTGGAAAAAAAATATTTTGTAGAATAAGAAAATCTCTTGAATGAAATTGTCATCTTGAGGCAATATTCAGAGTTGTATACTTACTCATCTTCCAGAGATAGGTTCTGCTGTTACAACCAGATAGCTTCGGTCCCAAATGTGTTAACAACCTATTGCTGCCATTTCTTTCTTTCTTTCTTTCTTTCTCTCTTTCTTTCTTTCTTTCTTTCTTTCTTTCTTTCTTTTCTTTCTTTTTCTTTCCTCCTTTCTTTCCTCCTTTCTTTCCTCCTTTCTTTCTTTCTTTCTTTCTTTCTTTCTTTCTTTCTTTCTTTCTTCTTTCCTTCCTTCCTTCCTTTCTTTCTTTCTTTCTCTTTTTCTTTGTCTTTTTTAACTTTTTAATGTTTATTTATTTCTGAGAGAGATAGAGCATAAGCAGGGGAGGGGCAGAGAGAGAGAGGGAGACACAGAATCCGAAGCAGGCTCCAGGCTCTGAGCTGTCAGCACAGAACCCAACACGGGGCTCAAACCCACGAACCGCGAGATCATCACCTGAGCCGAAGTCGGATGCTTAACCGACTGAGCCACCGAGGCGCCCTAATTGCTGCCATTTCTTTAACAAAAATTAGAAAGAAAAACAGGGACCTGAGAAAAGCATTTTGTTTTAAGAAGTGCCTAAACAGTTTACTTTTTATCCAGTGTGCTACCATTACCACTCTTTTCCCCTCTTATGCTCATTTCATCATCTCCAAATTGTTTCCACGGTTTCTTGCAACATCAAACCTGTTTCCTGATCAGAGTGATGTACTGCAGCTACACATGCCAGATTTACTCCACTTTATTTGTTCAACAAGTGTTTACTGAGCACCCCCAACAAATACCAGACATTGCTCTGGGCTCTGGGAAAATAACAGTGAGCTAAAAAGTCCTTGCCTGCATGGTGGCTACATTCCAGAGGATGCAAATTGAGGATGGATTTTATATTTTGGCAGGAAAACATATGCAAGGTTTTTATTGGAGTAGTTTCTGTTGATTTTTTAGGAAAATAACCAAAAAATCTGACTTTCCAAAGCCCCCCTCCCCAAGCTTCCTAAGCATAGCAATGGAAAACCTAACGGCCCCCACCCCCACCCCATTAATCGCCACACACACAAGACCTTGGTTTTTAAAGAAGATCCTGGTGTTTGTCTCATTTGTGTGTACAATTTCTTAATTCTAGATCTTGTGTACCAAGGCTGAGAATTCCAGACTGGTCTCACAAATTGACAACACCAAACTGGCTGCTGATGACTTGAGAGCCAAGTAAGCCCATCCAGCGCTGTCATTCACGACAGAATTTACCCTGCATCTGATGTGACACACTCCCAAGAAGCGTATCCCCAAATCTGCTAACCTTCCTGCCCCATACCATGTCAGCACCAGCCCAGAAAAGACCTTCATATCCAGTAAATGATAAAGATTAATAACCACTCACATGTATACACTACCTGTAGTTTATGAACCCATCTGACTACCTGCACAGTAATTCAGGAAAACAGGTAGGGCTGCTAATATGCAATCACCTTGTTTAAAGGTGATTGATTGATTTCCATAGGAAATCAATTCCCAGAAAACTGTGGTTGCATGGGGCTCTGTTATACCCAAAGACATACACCTAGGGCAAGACACAGCTAAAATGTGGATGCAAGTTTTCTAATTCCTAATCCATTGCACTCTCCAATTCTGCATTGCCTCCAGGGGCAGGAGGAGGAAAAATTCCCTCATCTCAAAGAACAGCAATGTGACCTCCCGCTGGCAAAGCGATTAAGGGAACAGTGGTTAAACGGTGATGTTTATCAAACGGTCTCACCTCTAAAGAGAATCAAGCCCACAACAGAAATACAATAAATGAGAGGCCCAAAGGAAAATGTGGAAGGGACTTCTGCTTGGCTCGATTTACACCATCTGCATTTTAATGCCTTTCTTTTTGTGTCTCATTTTTGCAGGTACGAAGCTGAGGTGTCCCTACGCCAGGGAGTGGAGGCAGATGCCAACGGCCTACAGCGGATCCTGAATGCCCTGAGCCTCGCCAAGGCTGACCTGGAGGCACGAGTCCAGTCCCTGAAGGAAGAACTCCTCAGCCTCAAAAACAACCATGAAGAGGTAAGAGAAAAACCAAGAGAGTCATTACAAGCTAAGCCTCTAAAAATAGCATCCATTCCTTTGAGTTGAACTTGACAAAAGGTGTCCCCAAAGAGTAGATACTATTCTGTTTTTCAGCCCGAGAATATCTACTGCCACTACCATTGGTCCAATGGGTTTCCAATCCACTGCCTAGAACACAATCTGAAGCCTCCACTCCCCCCTCCAGATCTTCCAGACAAGGGAGCAACCCAATTTAGGGGGGAAAACCCCCCACAGGTTTCCCATCTTTTTGTAGGCATCCCTGCACTGATTTCTGCCTCTATTGCTGTAAGTCCATATTGGCAAAAGCCCATATTGGCATCATAGAGACTCTGATCTCTTATTATAAACTCCACCTCCATGCTGCTTCACCATTACCCATCCCAGGAAATGATCTAAATTCCTTAAGACTCTGAACTTGCTAATTAATTCCTTCTAATGTTCCACATACTTGAACACAGAGTCACATTTGAAATAGTCTTAGGTTATTTTATAGCCTCTCAATAGTACCTATAAATCATCTATTCCTTTATTGTGAGCTACATTCAGATACCATTAAGCTAAATTATTGCTGTTAGACAAACAAGAACACAAGGGTGTCATGTGGTCACCAAGTGACTTCACATTCTTTTTCTTTCCATAGGAAATCAATTCCTTACAGAGCCAGGTTGGGGACAGACTCAACATTGAAGTGACCGCTGCCCCTTCTGTCGATCTAAACCGGGTTCTACAAGAAATGAGATGTCAGTATGAGTCCATCATGGAGACAAACCGCAGAGAACTGGAACAGTGGTTCAACACACAGGTGAGGAGGGTAGAAAAGTCAAAACCGAATAGCTGACCCTGCATTTCCAGGCACCCTTCCATCAAAGTCGTGTTTCCTTCATAATATGCATGGTCTTTGACTGTGTTTCAGATGGAGGGGCTGAACCAGCAGGTGGTGACCAGCTCTCAACAGCAGCAGTTCTGCCTGAAGGACATCACTGAGCTGAGACGCACCATGAATGCTCTGGAGATTGAACTGCAGGCCCAGCACCGAATGGTACCCAGGAAACTGACCAAGCCTAACACAGCAGTGATGGCAATCGCCCCTGACACCTGCATGTTGCAATGTTTCCCAAATTGTGTCCCTCAGAACAAAGGTTCCTCTGTTTGTTAAAGAGTCTATGGACAAGAAAGGGCTTGTGGTCAGATAAGCCTGGGAAATGCTGGAGTAAACAAAGGTTAAACAGGGTAACTTCCTGTAAACCTTTAATAAGCTAATATACACTATGGATCTCCAAGGAGATACATGGCATTCAGCATTCCAAAACTTAATTGACTGTGGACCCCCTTTTTTAAGAGCATCTCATGGCAATAAGGATCCATGGAGTACACTTTGGGAAACACTACAAGAGCATTGTATTACATGCAAAACATTTTTCTAAACTATCAAATTTATAAAATAGTCTTATAAGGGAGGTGGCATAATTATTAAGCCAATTTTATAGATAAGGCTCAGGGAGCTAAACTGATTTTCCCATGCCAAATCCAAGGTGAGTGCCACCTTGCCTATTTTAGGAATGGAGACACTGAGATCCTGAGGCATTAAGTAACTTGTTAAAAGTCACAAAAGAGATGAGCCTGAGCCAGAATTCAGTTCCAGAGCTGGAACCACTTCTGCCTCCATTGTACTGCCTCTGTGAAGTAGGGAATTATTTAAATGCTCTGATGTGAAGGGTATTTGGAAAACCTTGCCCCAAAGCTAGATTTGTCACCAGCTAGTCATGTGACCATGGGCAATTCACTTAACCTCTTGAACCTGTTTTCTCATCTCTGAAAACTGGGAAAACCATGTAAATAACAGGTTATTCTAACCTAAAATTGCATTATCCATAGACTTACAGGATGATGGATCAGGAAAGAATTGTAATCATCAAAGTTTCAACTCTATAAAGGAAGGGATCCAGTGAGGGAATTGTTTTGTGGGGGTTTTTTAATGTTAATTTTGAGAGAGAGCACAAGCAAGGGAGGGGCAAAGAGAGAGGGAGAAAGTGAATCCCAAGCAGGCTCCAATCTCAGTGTGGGGCATGATGCCGGGCTCCATACCTGGGCCATGAGATCATGACCTGAGCTGAAATCAAGAAGCAGGCACTTAATCAATTGAGCCACCCAGGTGCCCTGCAAGTTGAGGAACTGTTCATGGCTTAATGCTGCTAACTTCTTCTTTAAGGTAAAAATATTCTCAGAATGAAGTGCCACGGTAACAGGTTTTTAAAGCTGGACGTTTTTGTTTGTTGGTTTGTCTCATAGGTAGGAGAGTGTCGTATGATAGGTGATTAAGAAAGAGAAAGAGAAGTGAGTACTTTAAGGAAAGCAAAAATAAATAAAGAGGATAAAAGGAAGCAAGCTTTAGCAGAGTAGATCATTTTGGTTTGGGATTTCTTTGGTTAAGAAGTAATAAGAGGGCTTGGAGATTCGTTAGTACCTGTCACAAAAAATTTTTTTAAATGATACAGTTCACAAGAGACCAGGCTCCAATGAATCATCGTTACAAATCTTAATTTCTTCCTCCATGGTAGAGAGATTCCCAGGAATGCATCCTGGCGGAGACAGAGGCCCGCTACACGGCCTTACTGGCCCAGATCCAGTGTCTGATTGATAATGTGGAGGCTCAGCTGGCAGAGATCAGGTGTGCCCTAGAAAGACAGAACCAAGAATATGAGATTCTGCTGGATGTCAAGTCCCAGCTGGAGTGTGAGATTGCCACATACCGCAGCCTTCTGGAGAGTTCGGATGTCGAGTAAGTGAAATAAAAACAACTATGAGAAAATATGCTGACACACATGTGTGTACTGCCACTAGGCAATAGGGGGCATGTGCTTTGATCTGCTTGCCAGTGGTGGGAACTTTAGGTACCTGATCTCAGGCTGTGCTGTTTGGAGACCTACAACTGTAACCTAGTCCAAATTTGCGGTCTTAGCTGAGCGGAGTCATTTTGAAGAGCCAGCGCGCCAGGTTAATTCCTTGTATGTTGGGTTTTAAAAAGTACAAGGGAAAACAATGGTTTCCCCAAACATTCAAACATTCCTGGTGACTTACAGATTTTCCCCCACTAGATGAACTTTCATGAAATTGAGTAGGGCGACCCTGCTCCTTTTGGAGGAACAGTCTGTTCAGGCTGAAATGCCCATCTCCAGCCTCTTGTCCTTGATGCCAAGAGCAGCATGTAGATGTGTGTATTTCAGCATCTTTTTTTTTTTAAATGGAAATTGTAATGTGTTTCAATGATAAGCTAACCAACCCATAAGGGACGGACCTAGAGCACAAGCTCTTTGAAGCAACTCAGTCCACACTAATGCCCCAGATGCAGACTTAGAACCGTTACGGAGACTTCCTTCCCCCAAATAATCAGTGGACTCTGCTCACAGAGTTCTTATAACTGGCATGTCCACATGATACTAGCACAATGTTAACAAAAGCTAGTCCCTCTGAGGAGCTCCGACATACCAAAGTGCCTGGAATCATCCAAAAAAGATGATGCTTCTTAAAAAGAGTTCTGTTAACTGCTCCCGATTCCAATTGTGTAAAATTTCATTTAAATACACCCAGAAGGCACCTAGAAGCTGCCCGATAAAGCATGAAAGACTCTTCCATAGATGGGTTTCAGGCCATCTGATAAGAAAAACACCTGATTGGCTTTCTTTCTTCAGATAATAAGCCTCTCAACCTGTCCCTTATCACTGTTATCCTGTCACTTATCCCTTATCACTGTCAATCCTGTAAGCGTAGCTCCCATTATACCCATTCTGGATGAAAAACTAAAGCTCAGGAGCGTTCCTTGACTTATCTTAGGTCACCAGCTGGTAAATGACAAGCTAGACTGCACCCGGGTCTTGAACCCCTGGAGTGGTGTTCTTCCACAGTGCTGTGGCATTGTCCACAATGGCAGCTTACAGAATCTAACGCTTCTAAGCCTAAGATGCTGCTTTACCATGCATCTGGTCTGATTCTTTTTCTTCCACCAATGATAGAACAAAATGAACAAATAAGCATTTGGAAATACTTGTTTTGAGTGACACCATGTTGAAACATTACCCACCGCTGTTGTTCTCCACAACCATCCTTACCTTCCCTCAATCACAGGCAAAATTCTGTTTTTTCTAGGCTTCCCTGTAACCCGTGTGTCACCACATGTGAGCCTTCCAGTAAGGCCAGCACCATGGAATGCACAGCCCCGGCTTACAATACATCATCCTCAGCCTCCCGCGGATCACGTGAGCTCTGCTGTACCTGCAGAGTACTGCCCCAAATACTGGTTAAAATCTTCACCATCACGCAGGAGATCAGGGATGGCAAAGTCATTTCTTCTCACGAGCACGTGCAGCCTTGCTTCATCCCCAGAATTGCCAAAGCCTAACAACCCAAGGTGATGACAATGACCCTCATTCATGAAAGAGAGGCCAATACTTGCTCCTACCAAAAAGGCTTAAAAAGTCCCCAGTCCCTTAAGGTACTTCGTTTCTTACTAACAAACACAGTGGGTCCGCCTTGCTAGACAGAGTATCTTTTATTCTGACCCTTTCCTAAGCCTCTGCAATGTCAATGCCTGTCTCTCAGAGAAATGGGTAATGTGCATCCAAAGCAATGTCAACATGATAATATGTGTCATTTCTTTGGAAGCACATTACCCATTTCTCTGAGAGACAGGCATTGGTTTATAAGTGCCCAGGAAGGTGCCCTACATTACTTGACTCCACAGGTGATGGGCAGATTTCTCTTTTGTTTACTCAGGTCTTGTTTACTTACATTCCTCATTAGAGCCAGTCAGACAAGTTCTAGGATTGTTTCGGCCATGAAGGTGAAAAGCTGTGAACTTCCCTTCTAAAATCCTTCCTTGGCCAAAGAAAGAAGCCTTATATGGGAACAGCCTGAATGGGGGAAAGATCTTTAATGTTCAGTTTCCTTGAATAGATAGATAGTCGTGAGTCCAAATCCTGTTGAACTCTGCTGTTACCCCTGCTCGCATACTTCAGTTCCACAAGGTGTTTTTGAAGATGTCTGTGTTCTCCAAAACTTTGTAACCATTAGGCTTCTCCAAATATTTTCATCAAGATTCAGGAAGGGTTGTGGAGAGTGAATCTAGAGCATTTTGAAGGAATAACGTGGATCCTTTCATTAAATGTTTGCTATTTCTCTTTCCATTCTTTAGGGAATGGGAGTTGGTTCCGACTGTGTAACAAGGGACAGGGAGCTGGAACTCTCACATCATAACCCTGCTCTTGCCTCTCCCTGTGACTGGTGCTCATGAAAAAATAGCTTAGATTCCTCCTGCAATCCATCCATCAAAGAGAAGTGGACTTAATACCACCAACTTTGCACAATAACTTTGATTATTGAATGGTTGCTGCTTGCAAGGACAACACAGTGAGAAGATACCATTTATGTACCCGCCATTACCAAAACTTCTCACAGGAGGTCCCAGAGGGTTTCAGTCAATCCCTACAAAAATTATTCGATGTTTCCAGAAGATTTAGTAAATAACGACAAACCAAATACAGAATGTGGAGTCAAAAGACCTGACGTCCTAAACTTGCCACTTAGGACCCAGGGCAAAGCATCTAGCCTCTTTCAAATTTAATTTCCTTATTTGTTAAAGGAGGACCATGGCTACTTGACAGGTTTGTAGCGTAGATCAAAGGAAATTGTTTATGGCATGCTACTTGGTACACTGAAGAGCACTATGCAAATGTTATTTTTATATAAGCTTTGCTTTGAACTACAGCCCTAGACTTAATTGTGTCATTATCGCATGTCAAAATTCTTTCCCTGTCAATTTAGTGATCCAGTCATGATTTTGTAGTTTTAATAGTCCTCAGCTTTCAGGGATTAAAAAAAAAAAAAAAAAGAACAGAACAAAGTCTTCCTGTGATCAAGCCTGCAATTCTACGGCATAAATCATTTTTGAAGTCTTAGGGTTTGTATCAGATATCACTTGATGGCTGGCGCCCACGACAAAGACAAAAGTATTGTTTAACTCTGGGCTCAGCAGTCACTTCCTCCAGACAAGTAGCAACTTACACTAAGCGAGTGGAATGCAGAACTCCCAGAGTGATCTCTTTCCCATCAATAACTTCCTTCTCATCTGAACGCCCAGATTACCCCTGGTAGCACTTCACTGCATTCCATCTCAGACTGCAGGAGGGAAATTTGGGACGAGCATGGGGCTTGGACTCCGAAGACCTAGGAGAGAGTCTCACCCCAGTCTATGTGTATGACCTTGAGTAAAAGGGCCGGAACAACTTGGGCCCTGCAGTGCTAGAAGGACTAAGTGGAATAAAAATGGCGAAGGGGTCCTATAAGCTGTACAAGGCCATGCAGAAGGGAGGTTTTGTCCCCCAATTGAAAACCAGGCATTTGTCATTTCCTTCCAAAATACCTTCTTCCTTTGTGTCTCGTTCAGTGATGGTCCCCAGTGGACCCCACAGGTACATGCGACACTAACTGGGAAGTCAGTTGGTGAGAAGTCAGAGTTGCTCAATCTGCTCTGAGTTTTGATTCCAACAGGATGCAGGGTTTAGGAACCTTGCTGGACTCAGGCTAACCTTGAGCTGATATAGCAATGCCCTTCTCAATTTATCCTAAAAATAGGATCTCTTCCTCCTACTCAGAGCAAAGTATCCCATGTACCACACTCCCAATGTTAGAAACTAGGCTGAATTAGAGATATGTGAAACTCAGAACTCTGTGGATCCCAGTCCTGTAAGGCAATTATAATTCCAGTTTCCTTTTTCTAGAAGTCTTATAAAGTCCTGGTAAGACATAGTCTTACAAAGGATAGACTCCAAAGAGCAAAATGGCTTTTTGTTTGCTAGAGCCTGTGTTGGAAAGGGAAAGAGTATCAAAACCCATTTGGTGATCCATAATCTTATTTCTAAACATGGGAGGTGTAGGGAGATTGGAGCCTGCTTCAGATTCTGTGTCTCCCTCTCTCTCTCTGCCCCTCCCCTGGCTCCTGCTCTGTCTCTGTCTCTCTGTCTCTCTCAAAAATAAAGCATTAAAAAAAATTTTTTTTAACGAACGTTCTGATAATACAAAGCATTTTAAAAGCAAATGCCACCTCCAAACAGGAGGGAGGAAGAGATTAAAATTCAGGAGAAATGGGAAGTGTCCCAGAAGAGAAGGGAAGAGCACCCATTCGTACTAGGAAGAATTTCTACGCTGAGGCGACCAGCGTCCATGACATAATGCCATGGTTAGAATCAGTGCGAGCAAGCCTGGAATGCACTGTTTCAACACTGTAATCAAATGCCTTTATAGGAAATGAATCCTCTGGCTGGTTGGCTAGCTTGAAGGATCTGGTGTGTTCATGAATGATTCACAAGCTTCATGGGAAAAACCCACGCACCCAGTTCAAATGGGAACAACCAACCCTATTTGGCAACATTGAAAGTGTTTATGTAGTCAAATGATCATTTCAGGTTGAGCATTATATTTGGAGGGTTTTCTTAGATGATGCTTTTAAGCCCCAGGCCACCCCTTATACGCACATAAGAAAATATGTAATATGCCGATGTTTCAAAATATTCCAGTTAAGGTGTCACCAGCAGCAAAGTTTCTGAACATGCTTTCCTGCTGCTCCCACCCCTCCCCATGGCTCACCTCCACTGTCTCCCCTCCCCTCTTCCCTCCCTCCCTCTCTCTCCTCCCTCTCTATCTGGAACAACATAAGAATTAAGATGGACATACTGGTATACCTGAAGAAAATACCTGAGATTAAAGTTTATCTTACTATTTCTAAATTTTTTTAATATTTATTTATTTTTGGCAGAGAGAGAGAGCGCGCGCGCGCGAGCATGAGTGGGGGAGGGGCAGAGAGACAGGGAGACACAGAATCTGAAGCAGGCTCCAGGCTCTGAGCTGTCAGCACAAAGCCCGACACGGGGCTTGAACTCACAGACAGCGAGATCATGAACGGAACCAAAGCTGGACACTCAACCAACTGAGCCACCCAGGTGCCCCTTATCTTACTATTTCTTAGAAAGAAGGCAGGTTTGTGGCTCCCTTCTTTGTGTCCTATAAAGAGAAAAAAAATCAAAAAGGCCTTTGTTTCTAAGCCAGGGGCAAAACCCTCTGCTTTATAGCTCATTTCGGTGGCCCAGTGGGTCCAGCAGGTACTTAAGATTTATCCTGGAGAGAACTGGACCTACCTACTTGATATCAGTGGCCCTGAGACGAGCAACATAACTCTACTAAACCAGAAGACCTACAGAGACCACACTTTGGGCTGAATTTCTCCAAATCCACATTGTTGGTTATAAAGAGCTGCCTATCCCCAACTTGTATGTAAGGATAGAAAGGTCTTCTCTCTGCACATGTTTGTCAGCTCATGTACCGCTGACCCATCAGAAGAAAATAACTGTGCCCTCCTCCATCGCTGCCACCATCCAAAAGACCACCTTCCCTGATCCCTGGCATAGCTTTTGTGGGTGCAGAGAGAAGTCTCACAGTGGAAGGCACATAAAAATTATAGCCCATTTAAGAGAACTCTGTAACTTGAGGGAGAAAAGGAGACCAGGGTAAAAATTCAGAACAAGTGGTCCCTACTAAGCCATTAGAAAAAGCTGGAAGAGAACACTGCCATTTCAGGTCCAGAAGCAGAATCACATGTTGATTTAGAACAGATGCCTGACCCCAGACCAGTTGGGTCTGATTCTCAGCCCTGCCACCTACTGTGAGACCTTGGGCAAGTTACTTAACCTATGTATCTCCACTTCCTCATCTTTAAACTGGGGCTATTAATAGCATCTACCTCCTGGGGTTGAGATGACCGCATTAATGAATGCATGCAAAGCTCTTAAGCATGCCTGGCACCCAATAACGTGGGGAGTATGATTTCACCATCCTGCTTTAAGACACCTACATTCAACTGGCAAAACCACCACACTCGGGCTAATGAAATATTTCACTGGAGCTGACAGTGACATTGTCAAGCAAAGCCATCCTGACAACTTAAAGAAAGCACCAGATTAAGGATGGAACCTTTCTTTTTTTATTTTACTATTTACTTAAAAAAATTGTTTTAACGTTTATTTAATTTTGAAAGAGAGAGAGAGGGAGACACAGAACCTGAAGCAGGCTTCAGGCTCTGAGCTGTCAGCACAGAGCCCAACGCGGGGCTCGAACCCACGAAATGCAAGATCATGACCTGAGTCTATTTTTTTTTTAAGTAAAAATTGGAGGGGTGCCTGCATGGCTCAGTCGGTTAAGCATCCAACTTTGGCTCAGGTAATGATCTCACAGTTGGTGGGTTCAAGCCCCAAGTCGGGCTCTGTGCTGACAGCTCAGAGCCTAGAACCTGCTTTGGATTCTCTGTCTCCCTCTCTCTCCCTCCCTCACTCATGGTCTCTCTTTCTCTCTCTCTCAAAAATAAATAAACATTAAAAAAAATTTTAAGTAAAAATTGTATCTACTGAAAACATTTTGATATACATCTACATAGTGAAATGATTTCCACATGCGGGTCCAACTCTTCTATTTTCTGGAATGTTCCGGTACTCAGTTGGAAAGGATCTCCCCATACTATATCAACCTTCTCACTCTGTGGCAGCCAACAGGAAGAAGGTGTCCCAGGAGGCGGAGGGAGAACAGCCTTATAAGCAGAATCACTTTTGTGGAGATCAGAAATGACAGGGGAGTCCACACAGGACTGGTGTCCTTCTCTGAGATCCTGTTGCCCTTATCTCTGTTGGTCCCGATGTTCCCTGGCTCCGGTAATGGACTCAACAGAGAAAGCAGCAGGGGGGCTCCAACAAAACCTGTCACAGTTAACCGAGAACAACCAACACATAAAGTGCTGAGATACGTGCAGCATTCATAACATGTCCTACAGTCGACAAGGAGGAAGAGTAATGCTTCTTCCAGCCAACTAAACATCGGTTGAATATTATGCCCGACGTTGTGCTAAGTGCTTCACCTGAGTTACCTCACTCAGTCCTCACAACAACCTCACGATGCTATTATTATCCACACTTCACAAAATCGGGGCTTACAGAAGTTAACCAACTTGCGCAGCACTGTGCTGATGTTATGCTCAGCAAAACGGTCAAGTTAAAATCGGAACAAATTCATGTCTTCCACACTCCAAATACCCTGGTTTTAAATCATTCAAATTTGACAATATATCCGTAGCCCAATCAAAGACACAAATAGTTAAAGAAAAGAAATATTTGTCATGGAGTTCTGAAGAAGGCGAATCCTAAAAGCAACTTGACAGAGTTTGCATCCAGCCCAATCCAGGAAGGAGTAAGGCTGCACTCGATCACATTAGTGCAATGGACAGTCAGGGCACGTTCC